GTTTATTTTGGTTTTTTTCTACATTAAATATAAAGATGGTAATCATTTTTTTCTTTGTATACAAGTAAAAACAAAATTAGCATTTGTGATTTTCTTATGAATATTACAAGCACTGCTTCTAGCCTATGGAGGTTGTTGTTAGTTTTTGAAGACAGCACAAATGAGGTCTTACAAAACTTGAAAGTATTTGAGTACAGCCTGGCAATAACCTTTGCATGTACAGATGCCAACTCTATCAGTCTAAGTGTAGAAAGGTTCACCTATATTAATATGGCTATCAGTTTTTTCATCTGTAAAACAGAGATAATAAGATGTTCACTGTCTACCTCAAAGAGTTGCTGTGAATAAAAGTAATGTGGAAAACTTAAAGAGTTATATAAGTGTTTATTATTATTCATATGTGGTAATGCCTTTTTATCATGGCAACGTAGGAGACAATGTGGAGGAATTAACTGGGGGAAATTCTCTTCTGTTTCTAATTCAAACTTATAGGCAGCAATTGCTTGCTGAGGTAAAAATAATAGGAACCCCTTTATGGGAAGAAAGGACTACTTTCTCCTAGGGTTTGTGTTAGAAAAGGAGAGGAAATCTGAGTATAGTTTGACAGGCATGCCACCCTTTTGGAGGGCAGGTTTCAAAGTGTTCAGAAGAAGGATTGAAATTCTATAAGGCAAGTCAGTACAGGAGTGAAAGGAAACTTTCAAGAAAAGACTTCTGAAGACACAGAAACAATTTTAATGAGAAGGAAAAAAATTCTGAAGAGATTAACTTAGATTTTAAAAAGATATGTAAAGTAGAAGCAAAAGTATATGTCAAGATGAATGTTAGAACATAATATGACTCTTAAAAAAAGATATTGTCAAGATGGATAAAGTTCAGTATTATTCACCAGCATTGGATGTGACTATGAAAATTTACAGTGGTCAGTCAACAAACATTTATTAAATACCTACTTTGTGCCAGATGCGGGGGAGCAGGGTGGCACAATGGATAGAGTGCTGGGCTTGGAGTCAGGAAGACTCATCTTCCTGTGTTCAAATCTGGCCTCTGGCACTTACAAATTATATGACCATGGGCAAGTCATTTAACCCTGTTTGCCTCAATTTCATCATCTGTTAAACAAGCTGGAGAAAGGAATGGCAAACCACTTTAGAATCTTTGCCAAGAAAATCCCAAATGGGACAAGAAAATCGGACACCACTGGGAAAAAAAAGACTGAAAATGTGCCAGGCAGAATGGTATATTATATGATGGGGATACAAAGAAAGGCAAGAGACAGCCTCTGCTATGAAGGAGGTCATTGTCTGGGAAAATATCATGAAAACAACCATGTACAAGCAAGGCATATACAGGATAAATTGTATATAATCAATAGAGTAAAGGCACCAGCATTAAAGGGGAAATCAGGAAAAGTTTCTTGCAGTAGGTGGAATTTCAATTGGGATTTGAAGGAAGCCAGGGAAGCCAGGAGGCAGAGACAATGAGGGAGAGAATTCCATGAATGGAGGACAGCCATTGGAAATGTCTGGAGCTAAGAGATGGAGTATCTTACCTGAGGAACAGCAAAGAGATCAGTTTCACTGGATCGAAATATACATAGCGGTGCTTAAAATGTAAGAAGACCATGAAGGCAGACAATAAACATTCACTAAGCACTTACAGTTTGCCAGGGACTATGCTAAGTGCTAGGAATAGAAATATAAGCAGAAATAAAGAGAGTCTTTGCCCTCAAAGACATTATATTTTAATGGAAGAAGATAATGTATAAAATAGAACTGAAAAAGGGGAGGAGTGGGGAGGGAAAAGGTGGAAGGGAAAGTCCCTATGAGGAGGCATGTTAGTGATGTTCAAAGAATCAGAAGTACACCTTGGAGGGCAATGAGTCATGGTACCCAAAATGAAGGCCCTGGGAACTCACCAATGAGAGAAAGTGATATATGTTCTAGGATGAGAAGGTAGCTGAGGCATGGTACCAGTCTAGACAGTCACAAGCACAATTAGGAGGGGAATACCTTGAAATGGCTAGGACTAGCGAAATTGCCAAGGTGTGCTGGAAGGGACCCCTGATATCATCTAATACCACTTTGTCTTTTTACAGATGAGGAAACTGAGCCCCAGGTGGATAAGTTCACATGGGCAATGTAGCAGATCTCAGTTCAATTATTATCTTGAGTCTGTTTTCTTCTCCATGGAGAATGAGCCTTGTACTATAAATGACAGAGAAAAAAAATGTCTAAGGGGGAATTGATCCTTGAAGATAAAGAGGCCACCTGGGAGCTCTTGATGAATAAAAATACCCTGTTCCAGATAAACTTCATGAATGGGCAGTTGTGATCATTGAATCATTGTCAACAAGATCTGGAAAGGCCATAGTGAATAGAAGAGGAAGAGCAGAAATGGAGAAGGCAACTGTTTCCTTGATTGTCAAGAAAAGGAAGAGAATAGAGACTACAAATTATTAGGTAGTAAGCTTGATTTCAATTCCTGAGAAAATTCTGGAATAAATCATTAGAACAATGGTTAATAAACACCTGAAAAAATGATGACAACAAAAGACCTGCATGGATTCATCAAGAAAAGGTCAGACCCATTTAAACACAAGAATCGAGAGAAGCTTAAAAAAAGTAAACATGAAAGAGAAATCATAAATGATTCAATAAGGTGAAACTGTTTACATTCATATATGAGAAGATGATACATTCATTACTATTAGGGCAGTTAGAAGGAGTATACATAGACAGAGAGTATGAGTGTGAATTAGTTATGTTCGGATGGTCAAAAAAAGGAGTAAGAAAGAGGGATGCAAGGGGAAAAGAAGAAGGAAGGAGAAGGGTAGGAAGAAGAATGAGGAAGATTATCTCACATAAATGAGGCATGCAAGGAAGAGCTTTCACAGGGGAGGGGAAAATGGAGGGTGGGGGAGCCATAATGCTTGAACCTCACTTTCATTGGAATTGGTTCAAAGAGGGAAGAATATATTTACATACTCAATTGGTAATAGAAATCTATCTTTCCCCATGGGGTAGTAGGAAGGGAAGAGAATAAGAGAAAGGGTGGGGTGATAAAAAGGAGAGTAAATTAAGGGAAGCAGTGGTCAGAAGCATACTGCTTGCCTTCTCCATGGGTGGGTGAGGGGACTGGAAGGAGGGACAGAATTCAGAACTCAATTTAAAAAATGTTAAAATGAAAAATGCAAATTTAAAAAATAGAGGAAAGGTCAGGACAAACTAACTTTATTTTTTTTTAGTGACAGAGTAACTAAACCATTAGATGAGAGGAATGCTATAGCTATCATTCATCTAGACTTCAGCAAGGCATTTAATTAAGTGTGTCATACTAATCTTATGCGGGAAAAATGGAGAGACATGGGCTAGATGACATTTACAGTTAGATGAAAAAATGAAGAGACTTGGAGTTCTGAACTCAAAAAATAGTTGTTAATCATTCAATGTCATTTTGGCTAGAGGTACCTAGTGGAGTATCACATGGATCTGTGTTTGGTCCTACGTTGCTTAATGACTTGTATCAAAATATAAATGGGAGATCAACAAATTTACAGATGACACTGATTGAGGATAGAGAGTTAACACACTGGATGATACAGTCAGTATCCAAAAAGCCCCTGAAAGCCTAGAGCACTGGGCTGAATCTAATATGGTGAAATTCAATAGAAATAGATCAGAGAGGCCTGCTAAGACAACAGCCTATCCAAGTTTTGGTGAACTTAATGTTCAATAAAAATGAAGCACCTAAAAATGCCAATTCAGTCTTGGGCTGCTTTAAAAATATACTTTCCAGGAAGAAGGTAACAGTCTATCCATACCCTAACCTGGTCAGATCCTATCTGCAATACTATGCTCAGTTCTGAGCGCACAGATTTGGAAAAATGCATTAATAAGCTGATCAGTGTCCATTTGCAAACAATCAGGATGGTTAAGATCCCTTAGGGTCACATCAAGTGAGAATCATTTAAAGGAACTGGGTAAGTTTAGCCTAGAAAAGAGAAAACTCAGGGGTGACATGATAGTTGTCTCTCAGTATCTGAAGGGCAGTCATGTAGAAGAAGGGTTTGCATTTGTTTCGCTTGTGCTTTGAAGGGGGAAAAACAATGAGAAATGGTTGAAAGCTGCATAGAGGCAAATATCACCTAGATATCAGGAAGAACTTCCTAACAATTAGAGCTGTACCAAAGTGAAATGGACTGCTTTCATTGGTTGTGGGTTCCCCCCTCACAGAATGTCTTCAAGAAGACCCTGGATGGCCACAAGTGAGGTAGGCAACAATGTGGATTCCTTTACGTTGGACTAGCAGGCTGCTGAGTCCCTTTTAAATTCTAAAATATGATCCCCTCTAAACTCCAAAATGTTCAACACAAAAATATTCAATGACTGAGATTTTTTTTCTTGAGATTTTATACTTAGAAACGATCTCCTAAAATATGGTAAAAGGCAGATTCAGTTGTGTGTATTTGCAAAATAAAGAGTACACAAAACAGTTACGCCTAGATGCAACTAGGTGGCACAGTGAATAGAGTACTGGATCTGGAGTAAGAAAGACCTGAGTTCAAATAAACACTAGCTATGTAACCTTGGGCAAGTTACTTAACCTCTATTTGCTTCAGTTTTCTCATCTGTAAAATACGGATAGTAATAGTATCTGCCTCCCAGAGTTGTTATGAGGATCAAATGAAATTAGCGCAGTGCTTGACACATAGTAGGTACTATGTAAAGGTTATTGATGATGATGATGAGGATGAGGATGAGGATGATGATAATGATGATGATGACAATGATGGGGATTTCTGCATAACGCCAAATCTTCAGGATGAGACATGAAAGAGCCAGTTAATTATTCGGATATTGTTTTGTATCCATGATGCCCTAAATCCAGATGATTAGCTTTTCTCTTTTCTCACAAATGATCTAATGTCATTTCAATATAATTAGTAACTAGGCATGACAATCAGTTCTATCTAAAGTGCATTGAAAACATTCTCTTGCCTCTTTCTTTACTTCTTCTTCATCTTCTAGGGTCAGTGCTGCCAGCTGCTTAGCTCTTTGCTCCATAAGGTTCACATATCGAATGGGATTTGACAATGCTTCAATTACATCTGAAAATCAAGCAAACATTTCAGATCACATTTCTGCTGATATTAAAATCTACATATCCATGTTTATGAGTGTATAGACATATGCACCTATGTTTATATATATGTATATATGCATACACAGAAACATATGTGTAAATACATGTGTAAACATATGTATGTAGTAAATACTAAGTGTATCCACAAATACATTGATCCCACTAAATTATTATTCCTATTGCATTGATGTGGAGGCAATTGAGTTCTTAAAGACTATGATTACAGGGGGAAAAAATCTGAAATTCCTATTCAAGTGGAAATACTTTGAGTCCCTTTATATACTCAAAGGTGATGGACTGTTTGTGTAAGTTTGAGAAACGTCATCATGAGAAGGACTGCTATCAGGTGATGAAATTTTTTTCTTTCCACAGCAAATTAATTAAATCTTTCACTAAGAGGTGGAGTACTTGCAATCAGCACTGGGGAAAGAGTACCTAAACTTAAGAAATAAGTTATATGCACACATATTCACACATTTTTGTTCCAGAACTGTGATTTAATCAGGGTTGGGAACTTCCCATAAGGAAACTTCTACAGAGATGCAGATAGACAATTATCTTACAACTTACAGCCTTAGACAGCTGTCTGAGGCCATGAAGGACCCTGCCCTGAGTGACTTGGCAGAGTCACATAATCAATATGTGTCACAGGTAGCTCTTGAAACCTGGTAGTCTTGACTTCTGAGGATGGTCCCCTTAGTTTGCCTACAAAGATGAAGCAAAATCCATGTTTCTTGATTCCCTTTCCAGTGCAGCACCTAAATCTTATCTTTCTCTTAATTTTATGCTTTCTCCTCTTTTTTTCTCTTCCTCTCCAACTCCCCCCACTATCTATACTTATACTTATATAGAACCAGGAAGGTTTAAAGGTGCCAGGAAGGAGACCAGAGAATGTTTAAACATCATATGATATTTACATATTAGAACAAATAAATGGACAGATTGTGAATTTGAAACACTCTCTCCATTTTCACTTTCCAGGCTTATGTAGAACTTATGTAGAACTGATGTGACTTTTAAATTTTATTTAATAAGTTTTTACCATGTTTTAAAATTTTAGGTTCCTATTCTTAATTTAAAAATGAAATATTTTGTATTTCTCACTCAAAATACTAATTAACATTAATATTTATTGGCATGCCCTTCAACAGGAGTAAAAAGTCCCTTATTTCTAGAATATAAGATCTGTGGTAACCTAACTTCTGAGGATATAAAATCTGGGTTCATATTTTTACACCAGTATAAGGTCATTCAATCTTGGTAACAGATTCACACACATATGTGTGTATGTAAATGTACATGTATATGTATACGTATACGTATATGTATATGTATATGCATATCTATACCTATACACACATTTAAGATAGTAACTGGTTATTGGCATTGATCAAATAAAATGCTTGATTGCTAAGGGTCATTGTTGTGACCTATAGGGAAGGGGCCTAAACATTCAACTTCCATTTTCTAAATGGATCCTCATATAGAATTTTTATACTCAATTTGGCTATGATGAATCTTAACTTTTTGGAAGCTCAAACTGAAGACAGATACAAGTGACTCAAAGTCATTTAACCTTACTAGATCTCAATTTTCTCATCTATAAAATAAGATTTTAGGGTCCTTCATATAACTTTCCACAACAAATCTGTATTTTTGTGCTGCGTTATATAATTTTGTTTGGTTTTGACTGGATTTGTGATTTCATCTCGGTAGGGAGTTCGCAATGAGAAGCTTCCCTTGTCAAGACAGATCAGACATTTCTCTACAAGTTACAGCTCAGAAATGTGCTTAAGGCACGGAGACATTAAGGCACTACCAGAGGTGGGAATCCTGTGACCTTAAGGCCCCATGTGGCCTTCTAGGTCTTTGAGTGTGGCCTTTTGACTGACTCTAAGTTTTACAGAACAAGTCCTCTTATTAAAGGGATTTGTTCTATGAAGTTTGGATTCAGTCAAAGGGCCACACTCAAGGACCTAGAGGGCCACATGTAGCCTTGAGGTGGTAGGTTCCCCACCCCTGGACTAGCCCAACATCACATAGCCAGTGTGGGTCAGAGATGCTTGAATCCAGGTTTTCTTAGCTTCGAGGACAGTTCTTGATCAACTATACCATGCTGCCTTTTTAAATAGTTTCATGGAAACAAAATGTAATGTTGGATCACCATACAAAAAAGAAATATGCTATCCAGCAAAAAATATTCAATTAAAAAAATAGGCACAGTCATGCTATAGTAAGAATCCCAATTTCCTAAAAGCTTTTGGGTTTTTTTTTTTCAATTTCAGTTACTTAGAAGGTCTTGTCAATTTCAACAGGAAAGGAAAATGCTTAAATTAACATCTGAGTCAGTGTCAGCCTTGGAGACATTTCTTTCCACTGAAAGCATCTCTGTTAAATTCACTGCCATTTTCAGGCTGGAAATACTTGGGGGGACCTAGCACTGGTCCCTGATTTCCCTCTAAATCCCTTACCTAATCATTGTTGCTGTATTGTTGTTTCTTTGTTCAGGGTCTATGCTGGCCCTCTGTGTTGTTGTGACTCTGAAAGAGCTGAGAGAGGTCCCTTCAGGACTCTCCCGCTGAGGTGATTGCTTCTGATAGGGTGGCAAGGTACAAGGCGGCATTGGAGTGGGCACTCCAAGGACTAAATCTACTCAGTATAGCATGTTGCAGTCATTTTTCAGTCATGCCCAACTCTTCATGATCCCATTTGGGGTTTTCTTGGCAGAGATACTGGAGTGGTTTGCCATTTCCTTCTCCAGTTCATTTTACAGATGAAGAAACTGAGGCAAACAGGGTTAAGTGACTTGCCCAGGATCACACAGCTAGTACGTGTCTAAGGCTAGATTTGAACTCACAAAGATGAGTGTACCTGACTCCAGGCCCAGAACTTTATCCACTGCGCCACCTAGCTCCCAGTATAGTGTGTAGGTATCACCAAAAATAACTTACCTCACCTACATTTGGGGTTTATTGTAGTTATCTCATACAGAAGCCATCTTAAGTGAATGGCTCCAAATCATATTAACTAACTTAGAGGCAGCAGGTTTTGTTTCCTTAGAACAGAGGCATCAACATAAATGAAGTCCTAAATTCAGTGACATAGAAACGAGTTATATTTGTTTACCTGCATAAGTATCTGGCACATAGTCTTTCACCTCGATGTATACGAAGACTGCTGGAAGCATCAGAGGCTGATTCCTTTCATTTCTCAGACAAATGTAGTGATAGCCTGGAAAGTGAAAATAGAGAGAGTGTTTCAAATTCACAATCTGTGCATTTATTTGTTCTAATATGTAAGTATCATATGATGTTTAAACATTCTCTGGTCTCCTTCCTGGTACCTTTAAACCTTCCTGGTCCCCTGGCTACTGATACCTTCCTTTTCCCCTCAGATTATCTTCATCTATTCCGTATCTATCTTTTATGTGCCTAGTTATTTAAGAGTCATCTCCCTCATTAGAAAGTCCACTCTTTGATGGCAGGTACTCTTTTTGCCTTTCTTTGTATCCCTAACACTTAGCCTAGTGCCACAAATATAGTAAGCACTTAATAATGGTTTATAGACTGAAATTGGGTTATTCCTTCTCATTAACATCAATAACTTTGTATTGAATGGAATGATATTGTTTTCTTATCAGTCTCCCCAGTTCTTTCTACTCACCATTTTTCACATGAAAATTACTTAACAAATGTCCAAATAAAATGAATTTCTTAACTATGCTACTAAGTTACCTGGTAAAATTACAAATACATAGGCATTCATTTCTTATAGTAAATTGTATTTTAAAAAATAACAAAATAACATCATATTATATATGTAATATAATTATTATATATATAAAGGAACTAAATTCTGTAGGGAAAGATATGTACAGCATGTATACATATATGCAAAATAAGTATATACCAAATAAATACAAAGTAATTTGGAATAGGAATCACTAAATGCTAGGGGAACCAGGCCTCATGTAGGAGGTGGTACAAGAGCTCAGTTTATATATATACATATATATATATATGTATATATGTGTGTGTGTGTATGTATATACGTGTATATGTATAGGTATGCGTATATATGTAAATACATATATATACCTATACATACACACATATACACACATACATACATATATACATATATGTATATCTATATATAGAGAGAGAGAGGAATTTCCCAACTGATTGGAATGCAAAGTTTCTCATTATAATAATTTTACCTGGTCGAATTGCTTGTACAGGCAATATCCGGTGACCAATAAATTTACCTCCTTCTTCATATGCTGCTATCCTTAAACATGCCAGAGAAGGTAGGACCACCTAAAGAAACATTTAGGATACAGACAAGTTATAACACTAAGCACCAATTCCATTAAAACATTGCAGTGTGTTTGAACAATCATGTATTGTTCCACTGAATTCAAATGATCAATCAATGAAGAGAAAGAAGATGAAAAATAAGAGGAGAAAGATAATGGTATTAAGCAGGGATTTTATAATTTACCTTTATGGTAGGTGAGAAAATAAGGGATGTATGTAAAAAAAAGCCTAGGAATGTTTTAATATCAATGATAGACTATCATCTTCTAATCAGTTATTTTGTGGTTGGTTGGTAGGGCATTTAGGGTGTTTTAGGTATATAAACTCATCATAAATTAGAGTGTAAAGGATTTTCTGAAGCTATCTCATTCAACCCTGTGATTTTACAGATGAGGAAGCTTAGGCCCAGACACATGAAGTGACTTGCCTGAGGTCACATAGGTAGTAAGTGGCAAAGCTGAGATTGGAACCCAGATCCTCTGATTCTAATGCAGCATAATTTCTGTTGTACCACACACCCTGCCATACTGGAAATCAACCATAAATCTAATCTCAAACAACTTTGGAGGCTATCACTATAACTGGAACTGTAATAGAGCACTGACTAACATATTCAACGAATATTTTGGGGCTAAATAAGTATGACTCTAGCCTTAGTTCAATTGTCTTAAGGCTGCAGAGTTTAGGGACAGATAAATGGATACGAAGACATTAGAAATACTGATGAATGACTATGCTTTAAATATTGTTTCTTCTTCTTGTAGGCTCCTTGATGATCAGAAAGTGCTCTCTGGTGTTGTCAAACATTTCTCCTACTCCAGTCAGTTATTTTACAGTGAGTGACAACTAAGAATATGTTTTCTGGGCAAATACTATGACAAGCTGAAATTTAAATGAATAAGTTGCAGGGGTATTGGGTTCCCCACTATGTTGATTTGTTTTATCTGGCTTTCATGAGAATCTTTTTGTTTTCTTTCTGCAATAGTTTTTAGAATACCCATTCCGACTTCCATTTATTACAGAAATAGTGTCCATGGCATGGACAAGGACAAGGGTAGAAATGTGTAAGCCAACAAATAATGTGAACCTGAGGCTGCCTAAAATTAATCAACTATTCAAAAAGTATTTATTAATGCCTGCTATGTGCCAGGCACTATAGTAGGCACTAGGGTTATAAACGCAAAAATTAAACAATCTCTGGCCTCAAGGGAACTAAATTCTGTAGGGAGAGATAACACGTAGGGCATGTATACCTGTGTGCAAAATAAGTATATACCAAATAAATACAAGGTAATTTGGAATAGGAATCACTAGCAGCTGAGGGAACCAGGCCTCATGTAGGAGGTGATACTAGAGCTCAATTTTAAAGGAAAGTAGAAAGTCTAAAAGATGGAAGTAAGGAGGGAATGCACTGTAGGAATGGGGGCAGGGAGGCAGCCTGTACAAAGAAGTGGAGGTGAGAGACGGAATGGTGTAAGTGAGGAACAGCAAGAAGGCAATTTTGGCCAGACTGAAGAACGTGTGAAAGGGATTACATTTAATGTAAAAAGTGGAAAAGGTGGGTAGGTGGAAACTTTCCATCATAAATAAATATGTGTGTATATATATATATATATATATATATGTATAGAGAGAGAGAGAGAGAGATATGTGTGTGTGTGTGTATGCATGTATACTCACATACTTACATACACACACACACACACACACACAATTTGATCCTAGATTTATAGGGAGCCAATGGAGTTTATTAAACAAAGTAGTGACATGGTCAGGCTTGCGATTTTAGGAATATGATTTTGGCAGTCGCAGGGAGGATGGACTGTAGAGAAGAGATACTGAAGGAGGTGGTGACTGATTAGAGGGCTATTACAGTAGTCCAGGTGAAAAGTGATGTAGGCTTACGCTGCGATGGTAGATGTGTGAATATAGAGAAGACAATGGATGGGAGAAATTGTTGCCTTCTAACTGAATAATCAACAAGACTTGGCTGCTAATTAGAAATGATGGAAAAACCTGTCAGATGCATTTTCCAGAGCTGCTTAGATGACTTTGGGGTGATCGGCTTTAACAGATTAGAAACGGTTTTCTAACAAATTCATAAGAAACTCTGTCAGAGGATTTCTTCCCAAAAGTAACAACTCATGGGCTCGTGGGAAAATTGGTCTGATAACTAAGAGATTTGTTTACCTCTTACAGATTTAACCTCTGATTGTACAATATAAGTATATTAAAATAAAGACTTCACTGGGTTCAATGTATATGAGCCTTTTTGAGGTTTAAAAAGCCTTTTGAAATGCTATTTGGCCAATAACTGATGCAGAGTGAAGAAACTAATCCCATGTGGCCTACTGTAGCTGTCAAAGCAGAATCCAGTCAAACTGGCCACTAGTAAGACCTGTGGGTAGATATTACCTCATTTGCTAGCTGTGCAAACTCATGCAAATAACTCCTCTCTGAGTCTCAGTTTCCTCATCTATAAAATGAGGGTAACAGTAACATGTACCTCACAGGGTTGATGTGAGGATCGATGAGATAATGTATTCAAATCCTAAAGCATTATATAAAAGTGAGCTATTAATATAATTAATAGGCTCTAAGGTTTTGATTTTAATTAACCTCCTTTTAAAAAGGCCATGCTAACCTCTTCTAGGGACCTTATTTTTATTTTTGTTCAGAAATTGTAATTTTATCAGCACAAAGAAACTCCTTTTTTTTTTCATTCAACTCTGCTGTTCATCTGCAATTTATAGCCTGATAGAACTGCCCATGGTCACACAGCTAGTCTTTGTCAAAAGCAGAAACTGAACTCAGATTTTCCTCCCACTTTTTCCCCACTAGCCCAAGCTTTCTTTCTCTAGGGGTTTCCTTCCCCATAATTTCTTCCCATAATTTCCACCCCTTTTGTCATAATCAAAACATATAAATTAGTACATTATGCTGGTAGTGGCACAATGAACAGAGTATTGGGCCTGGAGTCAGGGAGACTTGAGTTCAAATTGGGCTTCAGGTACTTAATAGTTTTGTGTTCAGCTGTTTTCAGTCATTGGTCTGACTCTTCATGACCCCATTTGGTGACTTCTTGGTAAAGATACTACAGTGGCTTGCTGTTTCCTTCTCCAGCTCATTTTACAGATGAGGAAACTAAGGCAAACAGGATTAAATGACTTGCTAAGGGTTACACAGCTAGTAAGTGTCCAAGGCCAGCTTTAAACTCAGGAAGGAGAGTCTTCCTGACTCCATGTCTGGCACTCTATCCACTATGCCACCCAGCTGCCCACAACAACAAACAAAAAATGACTTTTCATTGTGTTTCATAAATAGGCCAAAGAACTCCCACTAAAGTGGTTTGGGAGCTATTTTCAAGACAAAAAAAAAACTAAACTAAACTAACCTTCTTGAACACTATGGGTTCTTCTTCCCAGACTGGATTTACAGCATTTCCTTGAGACGTCTTGGTTTTAAAGGCTTTTCTCCTGGTGTCCACAGGTAAGCCAAACATATCTATCTCCACATAAGTTCCAACTTTTTTGTCAGAAAGAAACTGACCTGAAATGATCTAGAAAAAGAAAAAAAAAGTTGTTGTGCCTGCTTGGTGACAAGATATAGATGTCTTCTAAGGCTATGGATCCTGAAAAGTAATGCCCAGAAGCTGAGAAATTCCATGAAATGATGATTTTCCCCAAAACCAAATCAATACAAGCTTTTGGGATAAGCATTAATGTTGAACAAGACTTGAAGTCTGAACAAGTAATTGTATAAGAAGAAGTTATATAAGAATAGTATGAGTACTTTGACAAGAGAGGAAAAGAAATTGATACCTAGTATTGCCTTTGAAGCTTCAACTCTGAATTACCTTGTGCCAGCCCAAACCTATTGGCATCACCAGTCTTACAACTGGAAGATTTTCTAAAGAATAATGGTTACTTCCCCAGCAGACTTAACAAGGAACTAATAAATTCTGCTGATTTTACACATCAATTCCTATGCTCATAATCTCATTTTTTAAAGAAAGAAGTTTGCCTTGTTCATAAGTTTTTCACAAATTATAGAGGTTAGTATTTCATAATCATGTTTGAATTCTCAAGTCACATGTCATACCCTAGATCCTCAAATCCTTTCTTATGATGTGATAACACTTCTTAAGACAAGGCCTTAATAAATTCACAAATAGTAAATCTTTAGAATAGAATTAAATGCAGAGAATACAGTTAGTATTTGTGTGTGTGTTTTCTAGGGTTCATTAGTTGTTTTTGAAAAATTATTAATATATTTTGTTTATATATTACAAACATTTACAGATTTCCCCTATTCCTTGAGAGATCTCTTATTGAAAAATAAAAGTTAAATGAAACTAATAATATAGTGACTTCATCTGAAAGTGTATGCAACATTTAGAGTATTGTCCTCTGAACCTCTCTATTAAAAAAAAACCAGAAATCTTTTTCCTTTTTCTCATGTTCAATCCATTAAAAAAGAAAAGAAAAAAGAGATTCCTCATAACAACTATGCATATTCAATCAAGACAAATTCCCTCAAATATTGTATATGTAGGATATATGTCTCATTCTGTGCCCTAAATCCATCATTACTCTGTCATGGATAGCATGCTTCATTACTGGTCCTCTGAAATTATGTGTATTTGTCAAAGGCCCTTTTCTATGGTGAATATTTGCTAGCATTGAGTTTTTGGAATATAATCTGTTATATTCAGAAATGTTGAGTCATTACAAGAAGGGAATATTCCTTGGGACAAAAGCAACCAGCTACAATTGACTAAGAACTCAATAGTCATGGTTTGACAACAAGGTCAATACCTTGATGATGTCTCACATTTCATTTTTGTTTAGCGCCTTTAGTTGCATGTTTAAAAATATTTTACTATCACAATAAAATTATCAAGAAAAAGCAAGTATAAGACAATAAAATTGCAACAGTATAAAATTTTGACCAGATCCCATATGATCCACTTAAGCTCAGACTTTACTGTTGTTTTATTTGTTTGTTTTCTCTGATCCTGGCCAGTCCTTTGAGTTGACTTGAAGCAAGCTCATCTTTGGGCTAAGAATGGAATCCTAGCTATAACATATACCATAATAACATAGCCCTAATTTACTAGAGTCATTGTAAGCTATCTCAAATACAAGCCACTTAAGTCTGGATGTGACTTAGCTTCCTGACCAATTATGACAGAATGGTTGATATGTAACCTTAATAATGATCTCTACTTCATTATGGGTTGGGTCATTCTCCTGACTTTCTTTTCATGAAAGCAACCAGGAATGTAATGTACTTAGATAAAAATGAATTGTTGATGGAGTTGTTAATTGGTCCAACCATTCTGCAGAACAATTTGGAAATATGCCTAAAGAGCTATAAAACTGTGCACACTCTTTGACCCAGTAATACCAGTACTAGGTCTGTATCCCAAAGAGATAAAAGAAAAAGGAAGTGGACCTCTATGTACAAAAATAATTATGTCAATTTTTTGTGGTGGTAAAGAATTGGAAATTGAGGAGACGCTCATCAGCCGAGAAATGGCTCAACAAGTTACGGTACATAATTGTGATGGAGTACCAGTATGCTATAAGAAATAATGAGGGGATGATTTCAGAAAAATATGGGAAGACCTATATGAACTGATGCAAAGTGAAATGAGCAGAACTAGGAAATCATTGTACATAGTGACAGCAATATTGTAAATGATGATCAACTGTGAAAGACTTAGCTACTTTGATCAACACAATGATCCAAGACAATTCCAAAGGACTCATAATGAGAAATGCTATCCACCTCCAGAGAAAGATCTGATGAAGTCTGAGTGCAAACTGAATTATAGTTTTCTGACTTTTAAATTTTTTCTTGCTTTTATTTTGTTGCAATATGACTAACATGGAACGTTTTACATCACAAGTTTTATTGGATATAGTAGTGCTTGCCTTCTTACTAGGTGGGAATGGGATGGGAGGGAGGGAAAGAACTTGGAACTCAAAATTTAAAAAAAAGAATATTAAAAATAAATAATAAATATTTTTAGAATCCCTAAAACAAACAAATAAAAAAACCCACCATCCAAGAATGAGTATAAGCAGGGAGATCTAATCATGTATGTAGTCTCTCTTTTAACACTTAGGCTTAATGAGTTAGAAATCCTTAAAATCACTTTGCAACCAGTCTCTTTAAGTGATAATGCTTTTAACCCCTATCTAGAAATTTTATACCTATACAGGGAACAGAAAATATATGAACCATTCAAATAAAGTGAACTAAATGAAGATTATTCTTAATTCCTTAGAAAATTATTCACTATCCTCTCGTATATTCAGCAAATAAATACAGTAACATTAATATAAATATTATAAGAATATAGGCAAGTCAAGAACCAAGGTGAATATAAGAATAAATTCAAACAATTTCATGAACACAAATATTGGAAATTTATTACTACATAAAATGAGTACTACCTATTTAAGCATAGTAATGAGAATTTGGAATGTTGCTTATAATAGGAATAAAGAACTTGGAGCTCTAGTGTGATTTTTTTTTTCTCCAGAGGTAATGCACAGCAATTTTAAATCCCAAACAAGCTTCTTCCTTTTGGCTTTATATTATGCAATTCTTCAAAATACCTTAGGTCCTTTGGAAGGTTCTGAGGTTTGCATTCATCACAAATAAACTACTTTTATATTTCCATTTCAAATAGTGGGATTTCAAAGAGTTTGAACTTTTAAAATGCAAATGGAATTTCCAATCATATCATCCAGGAGCCTACAAAAATCATGTGAAGTGGTCTGTTTTAAAAAATGTATTACCAATTTAGATATTAAAATGTATTTCATACAGTTTTATTATCTAATTTATGTCACATCATAATGTCACATCACAGCAAAAGAAAGAATGTTAACATGGCACTGGAAATTAATTTCTCAGTGTTAGTTACATAGTGTTAGTTTTGTTTGAAGTTATTAACAATTCTCTTTAAAATCCCGTGATACTCTAGTAAATCCCCAAATACAAATATATAGGGATAGAATATTTTTATTCAATGTTTTTAATAAAAATTACAAAGGGAATATTTTCTTCATTTATATCCCAATCTAATATACTCGTAATTTAAAAGACTAATACCAATAGGATTATCGTGTTCTACACAGATTCCTAAATAAGTCTTTCTATGGTACATTTATTCGTAGCATATTCAAATAAATGAGAAAGATTGGCACCCATGTTGATCATGTATCTTTTTTTACTCTGTTTTGGTGGGTTGAGAGTAGGATAGAAACCAGTTTATCATTGTATAAGTTTCTTGCTCATGCCAAAATGCAGTGCTTTTCTAAGGTGATTTTATAACCATACTTACATACCTTAACAGATAAAGTATTGGCTACTATGCCATCCACGATACCTTCAGTAAATGGATCAAAATGCTTGTCTGGTCGTCTCATAAATTCTGGCTTTAGTCTGTAACCACTTTTCCCATTGTATTCATACATTCCCAAGTTCAATTGCATAGCCAAGTCTGAACATGAAAAAGACAGATTTAACATAAATCTATTTCAAGTAGTGGAGAAGAGAAAGGGAAGGTGATTTCATGTTCATTAACATAAACATTAGATATCATATTTGATAATAATCTTATATATAATTTATAGTAATTTAGAACAATCTTTATTATTTATTTTATTTCAAATATTTTGTCATTATTTTATATATTATATGTACATATATTATAATTATTTTATTTAAATTATTATTTTATCATTATCCCAGTGTTTTGACTATCCTTTTTTCATCAGTATATCACATATTACTAATATAACTAAATATGTACCATTTATCCCTGAAGGTTATTCTCTTAATAGATAGTCCACAGATAACTTTTAATCCCAAAGTATGTCATTCTCAATGGTCAACATGCTCCTGGGCAGCTTTCTGTGCTTACGTACCCTAGTATACATTCTAGGAATTCAACTAATTGTGATATTGGCATGAACATGATAATAGTCAATAGCAAAAGAATCCTACAAAGTCTGCACACCACTTGACATCATTATCTCATTTGAATGTCCTAAACAACCTATTGGAGGTACTACAGTTGATATTTTTCAGGAGGAATGGTAGGCACAGACCTATAATTTCATTGTATATTTAACAGCTGGTAAAGAAGCTCCTTCTACCAAAGAAGATCTGCAACTTCTGAAATTTATAGTCTTAAAATTGGTTAGGGATAGTGAGAGATTCTTACTTGCCCAGAGTTACATAGCCAGTTTGGGCTAGAAGAAGATACGAATCCAGATCTTTTAGGTTCCCAAGGCTGAAGCCCAAACACTATTCATTACTTCATCTTCCAGATGAGGAAATTAAGCCTCTTACACCTGAAATGACTTTTGCATAGGTTCACACAGCCAGTAAATGTTAGAGGCAGAGTGTAAATCCAGATTTTCCAGGCTCTCAGTCTTATACACTCCCCAATATGCCACATGGACTCTCAAATAATGAATGTAAAACAGTAACTAATATTGACTGAAGTGTATCTTTGAAGTACTTTATTTCAGAAACCTATAAAAATGTTACCAACTTTATATTTAGGTAATTAAGTGGCACAGTGGATAGAGCTCTGAACCTGAAGTCAGGAAGACATGATCAAATCAAGCCTCATAGACTTACTAGCTATGTGACCCTTTTTACTTAAAAAAAAAAACTTATCTGCCTCAGTTTCTTCAGCTAAAAAATGGGAATAATAATAGTACCTACTTCTCAATGTTGTGAGGATAAAATGAAATATTTGTAAAGCATTTTGCAAACCTTGAAGCACTATACAAATGCTAGCCATTGTTGTTATGATGATTATCAATATTTAAAGAAAACTATGAATGTCACATATTCAGGCTAATGATGTATAAACTACTTAAATACTTAAAGTTGCTTTTAAAAAAAGAATAATTAGAAGAGGTACTTGTTCTACCAATGAAAATTGCAACTTCTCAAAATCTTTGTAAATGTTCTTCATGGGTTACTATGACCCCAGAATTCATCACTCAGGCTGCTGACTTGGTGATTAACTTTTATGAATTTACCTAGGCTATTCAATAGCCATATAGTCAATCACTTGTTCCCTATTATACATCCATTATAAGTAAATATTGCCTACAAAAATGAAAATTCATCTTAGTTACTGACTCTCCCTCATAAAATAGATATATTTGCTATGCAAAAAAAGTGTTCATTTGAAAAAGTTTGATTGAATTGACAAATTTTCACCAATTTTGAATTACTACACTACAGCTATTTTCCATTAACATGGGGATTGCAAGGAGTTACCAATTTATAGATCCATGTATTTCAAACATTTGTTTGCAAGTTGGTTAATGATTTATATTCCCACAGGAACAAAGTTATCCTTGCTGATTGGGTTCCCAAGCCAATCCACAAAAGATTATTTAACCTATAAAGTAGTTTATTTTAAAACTAACCTTTTTTCTGACTTAAGAGTAAAGGAAAGAGTTCTACTTACCTACTGTTTGGAAGTTAAGAGCCACCATTTGACATCCAGCATTCCAGAAGACTTGGGGCATGTAATTTGAGGAATCCACACGCGTTCCCTTTGGATAAATCCTACTAAGCTGCATTTTGTTATATCTAGGTAAGGATAGTTAAGTAGGATCATAGTTTCAAGAGTGAAAATATCATTTAGTCTAATTCCATCATTTTACAAATCAAGGCCAAGAGGGGTTAAATGACTTGCCCAAAGATAGCCCAGATAGCAAACAGCAAGGCCATCATTTGAAACTATTTCCCTTGTCTCCAAATCCAGTGGTCCTTTCATTACATTTGCTACAAAATTAATTAATGATACTGACTGTACATTCTGTAATTCTGTGAGAAGTTCAAAAGGAAAAAGAGATCTAAGATACAGCTGGGGAAATGCCTCAAGTACACATAAAACCACATAAGAGCATAGGAAACAGATATAATTTGAGCATTTAACTAGTAAGCAGCTTTATATAAGTCATGCATATGTGTTGATGGAACAGCTGGAGTAGCCAGAAACATGTGGGATTCACTGGAGAAGTTTTCTGGGAAGAGATGGATTTGGGACATAGTTTCGAAGGAAGAAAAAAACAAACCATGATTTCATGGATTGTACAAACAATGGTATTCCTATAGGGCAATGACAAATGGAAAGAACCGTAGTCTTTGAAAACAGACAAATCATATGCAGGGATTCACAGAATCAGTTAGATGGGACATCAGAGGCCATTTTGTTCAATATACTGTTGAATAAAAATTGTGTTATAATATGCCTAACAAATGGGTCACTTAGCTTTCGCTTAAAGACCTTCAGTGAGAGGCAACCTCCAAAGCCAACGAATTTCACTTCATGAAAGTTAACACTGTTAGGAAGTTTTTCCTTATATCAAACCTAAATTTTCCTATTACAACTCCACTTACTTCACAGTAACATCTGTTTAGAGGGAGCCGCTCATATGCTTCCACATAGTGACTCTCTGTTTTCTATTTTGTCTTATATTTTTCTATCAGTGCTGTTTCTACTTGTGAACACGATGGCACATTTTAGGATGCCTAACATAAGAAAGTTAACAAATAGAAGTTACTCTTGTTTCATATTTTGATTTTTATTATAATTAATTATATATCTAGAACTCTATATTGTCTTACCTATCTGGAAAATAAGTTAATCAGCATCATGGCATCATCCTCTAAAAGGCATTTTTTAGTTTCTTTTTAAAATTTTTTATTAATTTATTTTTAGTTTTTAACATTCATTTCCACAAGATTTTGAGTTCCAAATCTTCTTCCCATCTCGTCCCTCCCCCCACCCCAAGATGGCATGCATTCTGAATACCCCTTCCTCTAATCTGAATACCCCTCCCTTCTATCTCTGCCCCGCCCCTTCTCTTATCCCCTTCCCCTTCAATTTTTCTATAGGGCAGGATAAATTTCTATACCCCATTGCTTGTATATCTTATTTCCCAGTTGCATGTGAAAACAATTTTTTAACATCTGTTTTTAAAACTTTAAGGTTCCAAATTTTCTTCCTTCCTCCCTCCCCACCTACCCTCATTGAGAAAGCAAGTAACTTCATATAGGTTATACATGTGTAGCCCTGCAAAACATTTCCATAGTAATCATGTTGTGAAAAAACTAAGTATATTTCCCTTAATCCTATCTCGTCTCCCATTTATTCTATTCTCTCTTTTGACCCTGTCCCTCCCTAGAAGTGTTTGCTTCTGATTACCTTCTCCCCCAATTTGTCCTCTATCATCCCCCTGATCTCTTATCCCCTTCCCCCCTATTTTCCTGTAGGGTAAGACAGATTTCCACACCCAAATGAGTGTGTATGTTATTCCCTCCTTAAGCCAAATCCTATGAGAATAAGATTCACTCATTCCCTCTCACCTTCCCCTGTTTCCCTTCTCCTGTAAAAGCCTAAAAGGAATTTTTTTTTCATTTTTAGGCAGTTGGAGTTAAGTAACTTGCCCAGGGTCAAACAGCTAGTAAGTGTCAAGTGTTTGGTCTGAGGCCAGATTTGAGCTCAGGTCCTCCAGACTTCAGGGCCAGGGCTCTATCCCTTGTGCCACCTAGCTGCCCCCCAAAAGACATTTCTTAAAGCAGTTCAAGATAAGGGACGCTATATTGTAGGATAGTGAAGCAGTGAACCAATTGACTTCCTGAATTAGTTAGGAGTTCACATATTTGATTAGTGTAGTGAATGTTTGTTGAAATGTTAAACTAGAAGGTTAGTCTTGAAAAACTCATTTTGCTTAAAATATCATAGCATAATATATAGTATAATATAAAGTATAACAAAGCCACTCACTTTCTAATAAATACATTGACATTACTTAAAATCACAGAATTTCAGGATGGGAAGGGACTTCAGGGTCATCTCGTCCAATCCATACCTGAAGAGGAATCTCATCTACAAAATACTTGGCCTAGTGGTAATCGAACATTTGCTGAAAATCTTGCAGTATTTGGGACCTCCTTGTATCCTGATGTTGCACATTCTAGTTTTGGATACCTCTAATTGTTAGGAATTTATCATTATCCCATTATTCTATCACTATTGACAAATAGAATGGTATGGGCAGCTTCATTTTCCTAATTTGTGCTATTTCGGACAGTTTCCTTGAATTATGCAGGCACTTTTGGTAACCTAAATTCCTTTTCCAATTTTCTTTACTGCAAGTAATAATTATGACCTCAGATATCCATATATTAATGCCTATGGCATGTAAATTATAAACCAAGTGAAATGTCTACAATTATCTGTGATCTTACAGGTATTGCAGACATTTGATAAGTTAAGATTTATAACTAGAATGGGATAAAGAAATGTTATACCTAGTTCTAAGAAATATTATTGATAGAAATAGCAATGGGATAGCACTATATATGAGTAAGATATACATGTGTGGAGATCTACAAATCTGAACAAAGAAGAGCAATGTAGAAGGTATTTGGGTAACAAAGGATTAATTTTTACGTGGCAGCCTTTTGATGAATCTAATTCATTTTTTGGGACAGATGCCCATACTTCAATACTTTGAAAGTTCAGGGTTCTCATCAATGTGAGTACCTTTACACTATCAGATTTATAGCCCATCTCTAACCTAGTAAACAGTCATAATGGATTAACAGATTAACAAGTACTCTATTGGCTTAGATTCTTAAAATCTAGCCACTGCTCAGATTCTTAGAATCTAGCCAATAGTTAACTAATCTTCAGACTCCTTAAGAGTCTGCCCAATATGACTGATGTTCTAATAAACCTTGTCTTTGGCTGAAAAAAAAATAATTAGTACTCTGTTGCTAAAGTCTTTCAGAACTCAGGATCATATGCACCCCCCCACAGGAAGGCATTAGAGAAAGACTTTTGTGGAAATTGATGGCCGCAGGTATTGCTTAAGGAGATAGCTCTCCCAGGGTTATTAACATTTTCTGGGTAATTAATAATCAATTTATTAATTAGGCTATTCAATAACCAATAAATTAATGGTCAGAGATTTCTCTCAGTAACTAGAGACACCTAATGGGACACTAAATGCCTTAAATGTTTTTTTGAAGGGGAATTCACAACACTATTTGTGTGCCCTTGCACTATTGATTCCCCTGATGCTTGGATTGCAGTTCCTCTTCAGATTTCCTTCCTTCCTTTCTCTCTTCAGCTCTAGCATCACCTTCACTAAGAGGTCTTTTTTATCCCTCCCCACAAGTTGTTAGTGTTCTCATTCTTAAACTACCTTGTATTTAACTACTTTATTAATGAGATAATGTGTCTAAAGCATTTTGGAAATCTTAAAGCACTATATAATGCTAGCAATTAAGAGCAATTACTTTGATATTATATTGACAACCAATGTTTAAATTGGAATTAAGCTTTTATTTCCTTTATTTCCTCATTAAGGGACCAGCCCCTGTGGGTTATTAACATTTAAAAAAAATACTTGTTAGAACAAGAGTCAGGAATCCCAGAATTAGATGGGCCATTATAGGCTATCTAGTCCAACTTGTACCTGTAGAGAAATCCCCTCTACAATGCAAAAAGTCATCCAACCTTTGCTTGAAGATCTACAGTTGGAGGTAGGGGCATTCACTTGCCTCTTCAGGGAGAACACTACACTTCTGAATAGTTTCTAGTCATTCGAATTTTTTCCTTATATTAATTCTAAATTTTCATCTCAACTCCCACCCATTATTTCTAACTCTACCCTTAAGGGTCAAGTATAACAAGTTGAATCCTTCGTCTATACAGAAATTCTTCAGATATTTGAAGAAAGATATTATATGTTCCTGTTAAGTCTGCTCTTGTACAGTGAAACAACATCAGTTCCTTTATCTAAACCGCCTAATTTATCAAAATGTAAAGCAACACAAAGTCAAGGAGAGACACCTGAGGAACTCAACTAGTGACCTCTCTAGAGGATGTTAGTGAGCTGTTAACAAGTATTCTCTGGTTTTGTTCACTCAACCAATTAGGAATCCACCTAACTGGATAGAGAAGACCTTAGCTCAAATCCTGGAATGGATATTTTACTACTTGTGTGACCTTGGTGTATTATTTAACCCGTCTCGGCCTCAGTTTCCTCATCTGTAAAATGACCTGAGGTTGCCTCTAACTCTAAGTCTATGAATATAAAATACTATGAATTAGAGATGTTTTCCTGGTAGAAGAATAAACTGGGTGTAAAAGAAGAAGGGATAGGAAGGCTTCCTTAAAATATCTGAATAGCTGCCACCAGAAAGATATATTAGATTTATTTTACTTACTTATAAAGTATAGCATGATGATGACCAGGTAGACATCAGAAGGAAGGAGATTATAGCTCAATATAAGAAATAACTTTCTAACAATTACAACTGTCTAAAAATGAAATGAGTTACTTCTAAGAGAGTAAGTTCTCTATCACTAGAAGTATTCATGCAGAAGATGAATATCACAGCTGTTTTATAAATAACAACAATGATAATAATATTAACTACCATTTATAAGACGCTTCTAAGAATAACAAAGTGCTTTCCTGAATTGGGTAGGAATCTCTAAATGACCTTTGATGTCACTTCAACCCTGGAATTATATGATCTTACATGTTAAGTACATACTTTTAACAGTAAAACTCATTGAGTCAGTCACACAATAATTATTGCTTAGATTCAGTGGCTGTCAATCACACTATGAAAAATTATTTAGGTAGAAAAAATAATAACAAAATTCATTTGGAAGAACAAAATGTGAAGGATATTAAGGGAATCAATGAAAAAATGAGAAGGAAGTTATCTAGACATACTGATTCTCAAATTGTACTATAAAGCAGTAACTATCAAAACAATCTAGTACTGGATAAGAAATAGAGCAGTGGATCAGGGGAATAGATTAGGTACACAAGACACAGTAGTAAATGACCATAGTAACATAGTGTTTGATAAACCCAAAACCCCAGCCTCTGAGATAAGAAATCACTATCTGACAAAAAACTGCTGGGAAAACTGAGATACAATATGACACAAACTAGGCATAGACCAACATCTTACACCATATACCAAGATAAGGTCAAAATGGATACATGATCTAGATGTAAAGGGTGATACCACAAGCAAATTAGAAGAGCAAGGAATAGTCTGCTGTTCAGATCTATAAAGAAGGAAAGAACTTATAACCAAATGAGATAGAAAGCATTATGAAATGTCAAATAGATAATTTTGATTATATTAAATTAAAAAGTTATTGCAAAACAAAACCAATGCAACTAAGATTAGAAGGAAAGCAGAAAGCTGGGAAACAATCTTTACAGCAAGAATCTCTGACAAAGTCTTCATTTCTCAAATATATAGAGAACTGAGTCAAATTTATAAAAATACAAGTCATTCCCCAATTGACAAATGATCAAAGGATATAAACAGTCAGATTTCAGGTAAATAAATGAAAGGTATCTATAGTCATACGAAAAAATGTTCTATTCACTCTTGATTAGAGAAATTAGAAAAATTAGAGAAATTAGAAAACCTCACATCTATCAGATTGACTAATATGACAAAAAAAGGAAAATGATAAATGTTAGAGGGGCTGTGGGGAAACTGGGACACTAATGCACTGATGGTGGAATTGTGAACTGATCTAAACATTCTGAAGAGCAATTTGGAAATATGCCCAAAGGGCTAAAAAACTGTGTATATCCTTTGATCCAGCAATACCACTGCTAGGTTTATATCCCAGAGACATAAGAAAGGGAAAAGCACCAATTTGTACAAAAATATTTAGAGCAGCTTTTTTTTGGTGGTGTCTAAGAATTGGAAATATGGGGATGTCCATCATTTGGGGAGTGGCTAAACAAGCTGGGGTATGATTGTGATGGAAAATTATTGTGCTATAAGAAATGACAAGCAGGATGATTTCAGAAAAACCTGGGAAGACTTACACGACCTGATGCAAAATGAAGTGAGCAGACCAGGAAAACACTGTACACAATAGTGGCAACACCACAATGAAGAATTGTGAATGACTTAGATATTCTCAGCAATACAATAATGATCCAAGACAATCCCAAAAGACTAATGATGAAGCAAGCTATCTGCCTCCAAAGGAAGAACTGATATTGTCTGAATACAGACTGAAGCATGCTATTTTTCTCTTTCTCTTACTTTCTTTCTCTCTTTCTTTCTTTCTTTCTCTCTCTCCCTCCCTCTCTCTCCTTCTCTTTCTTTCTTTCCCTCTCTCTCTCTCTCTAAGTCTTCTTATACAAAATGACTAATAGGGAAATGTTTTACATGATTGCTCATGTATAAACTATATTAGATTGCTTATCATCTCAGGAAGGGTGGAAGAAAGGAACGGAAGGAGAGATAGAATTTGGAACTCAAAACTTTAAAAATAGTTTAAAAAGATTCAGTTGTTATTTTAAATAAACAAAATTTTACCAGTTAATGATAATAAAAGAGTGCTTTTAAACTCTTTTGAAAGTATAAGACTTTTGTTGTCAGTAATAACCTCAATGCTATTCCTAAATATATGGAGATTTTTATAGGTCAGGCAACCTAAATATAAGAATCATAGATCTAGAAGATAATTTTTTTCTATCATCCTCCCCCTCATTGATAAATAAATTTCAAATGAAAAACAGTTAACCTCTGTGGCATCAAGTCAAAGACTTTGGGTAAAGGATACTCTACAAATTCTACTGGAGACTTTGTCAGTTGCTCAAGTCCTTTGGTTTCCACAAAAGAAGACATTTCAAAACTTTTGTTTCTTTCTGAATTGAGGGAAAAAAGGAAAGAAAAATTATCAGTGAACATAAGTCAAAGGTATAATTTAAATTTCCTGCATAAATAAAACTCATAGGAAACATTATGTAACTCTAAGAGAAATTACTCCCCAGTATAATTTTATACTTATTTGTGTTTTTTAATGAACTATTCATTCATAACTAAAGATATTATCTGCTATAATATCCTTTTCAATAATATTTTGGTCATAGGCCTTTGAGATATCTAATAATATTAAGGAAGTAAAATGGATTTTAATACTTAAAGACGGTGAAGTGCTAATCAAAGGATATATGAATGTGGGGTAGGGGGATTGCTCTGATATAACTTTGAGGTTAGTGGTCTTTATATCACAATATGCTCTATAAATAGTTGTTGATTTGATCACAATGGCTCATCTGGGACTATTAGGCTAATTTAAGGTCCAATTTAAATACAAATTGTTAGAATCAATTTCTCTCTAATGATTGTTTATAAGGAATTCTACTTAAAAAAATGCCCTCCTTTCTTATACACAGGTAAAATTATTTGCAAACAGATTCTCCATCTAACCAATTCAAGTCTTTGAGAAAAAAGGAAACAGGAATAAACATCCAGACATCCCAACCTGCTTCTCCTTCCTTCCCCCTCAAAAAGAATTTCCTTTGACAGACAAATTTAATAAGTTATATGTAATTCTCAAACAGATGGCTGTGCTCTGCCTTTGCTTCTCCAGAATCTCAACACTGAACTAATCTTCCCCTCCTTTCTCTTCTTGGACACCCTCGTCCAGTCTGTCAGCTCCAGTTGTTTCTTATTTTGTTATCTCTTTTTCAGATCAATTTCTCTCTTTCCTCTCTATCTTAATGGAGAAAAATCAGCTTCGAACTACCCCCTCAAACAAGAGTTGATTGAGCCAACCTACCACTTTCTCTCCAATTTACCCTCGTTTTCCCTCTTCTTCCATTCTATTTCCTATACTTACTTTCTCTTTGTTTTGATCCCATAGCTCCTTTTTACAAATATTCCTAATTCTGCCTTGAATCAAATGAAAATTAAACATTTTTCTTTCAGATGCTGGCAAGATTAAATGTAGCTTGATTAAAATGACCAGATTCCTCATTAGCTCACGTGGGGCAGGAGTCATGAAGAGCTGGACAAGACTGAATCAAATGAACAACAGCAAATGTAGGGTAGATTTTTATTCCATTTCCTCTCTCTCGTCCACAGTCCCTTTACAAGTCACTTTCCCTGCTTTCCCCACTTCACCTCCATACACATATCAGCTTCTAGGCATTATCTTAGTTCTAATTTGTCTATAAATGTTACTTTTTCTTGAAATAACTCCATGCTGTAGAAAAAGGTGTTTCCAGGCACAACATTTTAAGAGATATATTAAGTATCATGATTCAGCTCATGAAGCCATATGTGTTATTTAGTCATTCAGTTGTGTCCAACTCTTCACAACTTCATGGGCCACACTATCCAGAGGAGTTTTCTTGGCAAAGATGCTGTAGTGGTTTGCCATCTCCTTCTCCGCTGGATTAAGACAAATAGAAGTTAAGTGACTTATGTGACCCAGGGTCACATAGCTAATGACTGTCTGAGAATAGACTTGAACTCAGGTCTTCCTAACTCCAGGCTCAGCATTCTATCCACTGAGCCACCTAGCTTCCTCCTGAAGCCCTATGTGCATCGATTTAATTTTAAAATGGGAAATCATAAAGTAAAACACATTTTACAGTCTGTCCATATGGGAGACACAAAGACCTTTCCTCTCTAATATATTTCCCAGGGCTACTGTCTATTTAGTACACTTTGTTAAATAAAAACACAATCTGGGCCCATCCACGACATTTGGTTGCCTGATGATATTTGTATGAGATGTCAGGCTTTGACAAGTTAGAAAAATCGCTTGAATTTATTCACACTTTTAACCTTTGTTTCTCTTCTGGGCTTCCAAATATTTACTTCCAAACTCTATTGGGTTACCAAAGATAATATTGGAAAGGAGAAGAACTGGTATGACTAATAAGAGCAAGAGATATACCTCATGTCATGGCCAATGGAAATAACATAATAGTTTGATAGTCACAAATCAACCTATTAGTAATGGAATATCAAAGCATTTAATTAGCTTTACTACCTTTGTATGAGCCAGAATAACTTTTCTTTGCATCTGCCCCAATATAATGCAGGCTCCAAGATTAATTATCTGAAGAATGGCTTTTAATTAAACATCTAGCATTCTGGAGTGCATTGTTCTTTTCAAAGCGACAAATCAATAAAAAAAAAAAACCACAAGAAGAGCTATATTCATAGACATTTGGCAACTGTCACCTACATTTGTTTCCAGGCTCCGACAGAACTAAAAGCATGTTTAACTTCCTTTTGAAGAGCTTTCAATTGATGAATGAGCTTATCTCCTATAAATGCTAATACATACAAGCACCCAAAGTAACTCCTCTAGGAGTTTTCATATTGAATATAAAATGCTTGTATTAAGATCCATTTCTGAATTATTCAAAATATTAAAAAAAAACCTTTACTAATGTACTGATTTGGAAATTATTTTATTTAGTGTAGAGATACAGAAAGTGAGCCATTAGACTAATATAATTTTAGCAAGATGGTACCAATACAACTGAGGTAGCAACTTACAGTGTAGCTTTTGACACACTAGCAGTTTTTTGTTAATGTCAGCACATCAAAAAAGATAGGGTAATGGAGCTGTGGGGAGTAAGGTAGTATTTCCATCAATAAATAACCTTGCGGAGTGCACCGCCCCTGTCCCATCTTTGGACTGTCTTTAGTCATCAAATAAAAGTCAAGTTGAGCAAAGTTTGCCTGGCAAGTGTCAGAGACTAATTGTCATATTGTTTGTACAAAGACATATAGTGTTAGAGGAAGGAGCACAAAGGGAGGTAGGACTTTATCACAGGAATACAGTACAACTTTCAGCTTTAAATGCTCTTGTGTGTCTCCTTATGTATCTGTTTTCCTGCTGGGGAATTTGAGGCATTTCTGTACCAAGGCCTAGCACATAAAGTGTGAGGCACAGAGAAAATTAGTGGGCTGTACGGGTGATAAATTTCTTCCATATGAGTTTTTAGTGTTTTAGTTAGTAATTTTAGTTGAGTTTTTAGGAATCCTAGAGGATTCCCTCTCTACTGATGGAATAACTATTAGGGCCAGAGGACCCTGAAAGTCAGAGAAAGCCTGGGGAGAAAAAAAAACACATTTTGGTACTGATTTTTATCTTACATTTTGACCAAATGAAAAAGAGAACCTGACAAAAATGGCTTTTCCATTTCTGAAAGGAAAAATGGTATTTTTACATTCACAAAAGGTATTGGAAAGTTAATCCTAGGACTAGTAAATGTACTTGTTTTTTTTTTTTCCAGAACACAACAAGATATGAAGATTGATGGCATAGTCTCTTAAATGTGCAGAAGTTGGCATGACCAAATGAGAGCTTGGTAAATTACAAATTGCACTATGGCTATAGATATGGAAGGTGAACAAATCACCTTTCAGGGTCTATGTTAGCAACTTTCTGCACAGTGTATTGAATCGCTCATACATTGACTCCCTCTAAGTTGTTGGGGCAAGAGAAGACACCAAATTAATCAAATGTTTTTCAGCTGTGTAGACATAGCTGATAAGTGTTCTTGCTGAATAGCACTGGCTGTATGTATTGCTAACGGCATCTCTATTCCTTGGATTTTATTCAGGACTAACCAGATTCTCATCCACTATACCTCTAAACAAGAGTACCACCAGAATCAGGCAGTGTTGTTGAGTATAACGTGTGTTGGTCCAAAAACCCAGTGCTTCAAGCATAAACATTATAGGCCACTGTTGGGGATTTTCTCTGGAAGGATAAATAATCAATCAAAAAACTTACTTTTTGATGTCTCAAATGACTCAAATTTCACTGGTTGTATATAGTTTACCAGGTTAGACATTTCTTCTGTGGCCATGGCTTCACTACCAGCAGTGCCCTGGAGCAAGGAATAAAATAATGGTTCAAGTTTAGGAGTTTTATATGCAAGAGAACAATTTTTCCAAATGTGGGCACTATTTACTTCTGCTAACTAAACATCGTGCCTCTTTTGCTACATGAGTATTAATCCTCACTCAGAAATATCCTGAAGAAGCAAGAAACAGAAAGATCTCATCTTTAAAGTAAGATTAGAAATTCAATAGTATGTCCTAGATTGGCAGATCTCACTAGACACACTTGATCCTATCCTCTAATTTGGGGTAAAGAACAGGAAAAAAATACTTCCTTTTAAAGAATCCAGTTCACATTCTCCAGCTTAAAAGATAACTGGGTAATATCCTTACACAAATATTGCTTCCCATACAGGGATTCTGGAGTGTGTGTGTATGTGTGTGTGCATGTGCACATGCGCACACGCGCATGGAAATGTGTGATACTGCCCTGCGCAGCCTATGAATTCCTCAGCATTTCATTTTTAGATACATAAAATGCATAGTATTATGAGGAAAACCAATTATATTGAAATATAACTAGGTACCCTGGTTCTAATTGTTAAAGCATATTCTATGTTACTGAAACCTTTGGCCACCTATCACTACTTGTTGCTGATAAATGAGAAGTTTGTATCATTTTACCTGACACTATCCCCTTTTTTTCCTTTTCTGTTTTCCATCAAAATACAAAGATACAAATTAGTTGAGGCACGTTAAAGATCAAAAGGGTAGGATAACCTGAAGAATTAGTTGCTAGAGGACATTGAGTCTAATGAAAGAACACTGCACAGATGGTCTGGCCTTTTTTTTCTCTCCCACAAAAGAACAAAACAGAGATTGTAGGAATTTGGAGCATTTAAAAAGTAATCTCTGAGCTATTTCCTTTCCAAAACTCTTATAGTGTTCCAAATTCTAAGTTTTATTTCCCAACCAGTTTTTTATTAATTTATTAGTTTTTACTGAAATAAACCTTAAACCTGAGTTATTATTAACATTAGATTCTGGGTCTTGGTGAAATGATCCACGTTCTGTAGTCCTTTTGAATAATGGCCCCTTCTACGTGTCTCTCTATTAAATCTGCACTTAAATAATACAACTGATGCTCAAACTTCTTTTAAAAAATAACCCTGCTATTTTTACTCTGGGGCCTTGTATCCTAGTTGGCTTTTCATGCCTTGTGTTTTCCCAGATTCTTCATGATTTTAGAGAATCCTAGAGATGGACGGCACCTTAGAGGCCATCCATTCTATGTCCCTCGCAAATGAATGTAGCCTCTGTGCAATGCTGATACCGTAGTACATTGTCTCAAATTCGTTAACATCTGATTTCTTTGGGCAACCTTAAGTTTATATAGGATGAAGTTGGATTTGACAACTGGTAGCCATTGTTTTCTAATCTGCTTTCCAAGGAACAATATGGGATGATTTTACTAGTTATTGTGAGGCAGTTATAGACCTCAAAATCACCATTTGCTTGAGTTATAGGTTCTTAGATTTAGAACTAGGAAGGATCATAGAGGTCATTTAGTCTAATGCTCTCATTTTATTTATGAGAACTTCGGGTTTTGAGAGATTAAGTGAATTGATCAGTGTCACACAGCTAATAAGTGTCAGAGGAGGAATTTGAACCCAGTTCTTTCTGACTCCAAGGATAGCGCTCAATTCATTCGACCACACAGCCTTTTTACGATATCCACGTATTACTTTTTAACATCGATTTAAAAAAAAAAAACTAGTGATTTTCAAAAAAAAGATTATATCATTTCTTACCACTAGATGGCGGAAGATGACTTAGGAATGAAGACATGGGTAATGACCTAACATCATCTCCAGTTACACTATAACATGCTCACCTCGGGTCCAAACTAGATCTGCTTACCTCATCCATTGAAGATTTTTTACAGTCATCATCATCATCATCATCATCATCACTCTCCATATCTGCTTCTCCTGTAATATATTAATTACAGAACAACAAATTACACCTTAAAAAATGAAAATTCAAGATTGCATGTACTCAAATAGGATTTACTTTGGTTCCCATATGTTGCTTTAATTTATTACAGAGCTACAAGGATGTATCTCTGACTAAAGACACCCTTTCAAAAAGGCTTAGTTATGGACAACATTGTCATCCATTGGCAATACGTGACTTTTCTAAATGTTAGAATGAATTTTGTGAACTTTAAAAGCTAATTATAATTATTTTCTATTTTACTAGCAAGACCAGTTATCAGCAGATGAATATTAAGAATATAGATGGCATGGTCCTACAAAAATAGTGTAAGGAATCCTAAAGCTGAGGCTCACAAGGGAAGCTAAGGAAAATAAGGATTAGTTTCTTTTTTAAAAGCGATATTGGGTGGAAGGGAGGGGAAGTATCAAAGAAGGGATAAGACGCTTATTGGTCCTAAATGACAATAGTGAGAAGGCACAGCTGCTCAATCCTTATTTTGTTTTTATTTTCTCTGCAAAACAGACCAACCTTTGCCCTGGAAATGACAGAATAAAAATTATTTATGAAGGGTTGAAATCCAAGATAAGTAGGAGATAGTAAGAGAACCCTAAGTGCCATGGTATTCCATGGAGAAGGCAGGGATAGACAACAATTGTTCAGAAAAGTATCTGGGGGTTTTAGTGGGCTGCAAGATCAATATGATCTGGCAGTGTGATGTGGGAGTCAAAATAGCTGATGTAATCTTGGGCTGCATTAGAAGGCATAGAGTCTACCAATAGGGAAGTAATGGTCCTGCTATTTTCTGCTCTCATCAGATCTCATCTGCAGTATTTTGTTCAGTTGTGGGTACCACTGCTTAAGAATGACACTGATAAGCGGGAGAGTGTCCACTAGAGGTTAACCAGGATAGTGAAAGGCCAAGGGTTTATGACATAAGAAGACCAGTTGAAGGAATTGAATACATTTAGCCTGGTCTCAGAGGGGAAAAGACTCAGCAGGGCTGTCATGTGGAGACGTGATTTGATTTGTTAAAGGACAGAACCAGGAACGATGGGAAGAAAGTACAGAGGCAAATTGAGGTTTGATATTTGAAAATCTTCCTGATAATTGGAGTTGTCCAAAATAGAATAAGTTGCCTCAAGAGGTAATGGATACTTGCTTGTCGGAGGACTTCAGACATAGGCTGCACCACTTTTGTCAGGTGTTACAATGAGGATTCCTTTCATGTTTGGGTTTGGCTAGTTTGCCTTTGAGGTCTATTCTAACTCTCCAATTTTGTGATTCTTGGATTCATTTTGGCATCTGGGGCAAGCTTAATTGAAATGCAACACAAATAACATTTTAAGACAAATTCATTTGGGAGACATGAGACAGAAACCCTAGGACACTATCCTGCTGGTTGTCAGTAGAGCAGAACTTTGAAGGAACTCATCTGGTATGGGGAAGACTGAGATGATGGAAGAGTTTTGGGAGAAAAGCTACAACTGTTTTAATTAATTTTTGATAAATAAGTGCCAGGCTCAATTGCTGCTAAAAGCGAGTGCCGGAAGTCCCCTTTAATTTTGGTGCTTGGGGGCAAAGATCCAGTGGCCCCATCTTAGTTAAAACTATGATAGGTAGAGTGCTTCATCCTGTGTACTTAAATATATACTATGTGGATTTAGGGGAGACTAAAGACATATTTTTTATCTTGATTTCCTACCTGAACACGGAAGCAGACAAAGTGTTATTAGAACTTAAGTAAAGTTATGCAAGCTCCTTGTGGACACAAACTACTTTTGATTTTGTCTTTGTATACCCATCACCTAGTACACAGCCTTAGATACAGCAGGTGTTCAATAACTACTTGCTGATTTGGATTAGAAACTCTTAAGGCGGGAAGAGTCAAGCTAATTTCCTATCTTTTTCTATTTTCTTTCTCCTCTCCTTGAAGGGGGCCTCAGAAGTCATTTGTTTCAACCTCTTCATTTTATCAGTCGAGAAAATGAGACATTAGTTGTCTAATATGACTAGAACTGGGACATGTGGAATGCTACAGTTCAGTCATCTTTATAAAAGTGCAAACTTAATTCTATCATGACATAGTAAGATTCAGCCTGTTCATTTGGATGGGGCAACTTGTCTTTTAAATATCTAAAACAAATCAGTAATTAAAAACATAATTGATGCAAGAATATTTGGAAATTCTGAGTACAGTTAGAAAGATAAAAAGGCAGGGCACTGTAAGTTAGCCAGACTCAATTTTTTAAAATATTCAGTTAATGTATGGTAATTCAAATGTCCCGTTTTCTTCCAGGGAATTTTCAGTTGTACTGAAATAGTGATGACAAGATGATTCTTTAAGAGTTTTTATGGCCCTGGCTCTAGCTTTTAAAGAGTACTGTTGGTCAGGAAATCAGATGTTAGAACAAAAGCAGGGAGAATCTAACCCTGCACATATTATTTAATTGTATTACTGCTACCTTTCTGACAGTTCACTCCATGCTATTGCATAAAATGCCCAATAGATGGAAGCAGAAACCAAATGATGGGAAGGCACACATTGTTACTCTTCTGATTTTCCCCGAATCTATACTGAATTGGCTCTTGCATAAAAACAAACGGTGTCGCTGTCTCCTTTAAGTTTGTAGTTATTCCTTTTCACCGAATAAATAATTACCAAATGGTGAGGCAGCATGTTATAACGGATAGAGGTCTGGTCTCAAAGACAGGATGATTTGTGTTCAAATCCTGACTAAGACATGTGTACAAGTCACTAATCTCTGCCCCAGACCGCTCTCTAAATTACCGACTGACTGCCACTCTGCATGACTGGAGGGGGTTTCCACTAGATTGCTCCATATGGGTAAAATCATAGTTGTTATCATATACAGATCTGCACTGGGCATATACAAACACATGTACATGCATGATTAGTATCTGTATATAACATATGTGCATATGATGCATACACTGATACATATACACACTGTGCATGTCTGTATATCTCACAGATGCACACATATCTGTATATACCACATGCATATAGGTATATAATGTGTATATGCACACATGTCTATATGTCATAGGAATGTATATAATGCATAAATACAGCAGTATATGTTATATGCACATATCATATAGTGCAACACACATATTATGTACACATGCATACACCTACCCGTATATCTATATATCATGTATGTGCATACATGTATCTGTAATACAATGCATGCATATGATATAGCTATATATATCATATATATCTCAAAGTATATTGTATAGAATGGAAAAGATTTCTATAATTAATCAGGCTACATAGCATATACCCCAGTAGTGATAATGGTCACATACTTGTTTTCCAAATGAAAGTATTATACCTAGGAACAAATGTTCATCTCCCATAAACTCCACAGAGGCAAGGACTGTGACTTATCTAAATTCTGTATCTCTACCCACTTCGACTGTACCTCCACCCCTTTTGCCAACAGTCAGCTCTGTGGTTGGTGCCGTGTTAATGTCTGTTGAATTGTGGAATTTTAAACATTTAACATTTAAAATTAGTTTAAATCAAGTAGGCATTTAAAATTCTTTTGGAACCCCCAAATTCCCACCCAATTTTTAATATTAACTGATGTGATTAAGTTTTAATTAAATTATTAAAATTATTAAGAAAAGCCTGTAGAAGGGCTTTATGAAAAGATGATTATTCACACATAATAACCAACAATAATCTTGGGTTCATGTGGTGGAGGGAGAATTTGCTCATTCCATAGGAGCAATAGATGTGAAATAGGAATCATTGTTTTCCCTGTTGAAGCTCTGGAAGAAGGCTAAAAAGGAGTCCAAGATTAAAATGAGGGCCACAAGGGAGACTGTATCTTGTAGTGGAAAACCACAGAATTTGGAATCTGAGGATTCAGATATCATGTCCGTGACCTACTATACATGTGCCTGTAATTCCAGCAAGTCACCTTCACCTCTCTTGTACTTAGTTTCTCTAATTATAAAATGAAAGGTTTATACTGGATGCTCTCTAAAGTCTGTCCCTGTAGACCTCTAAATCTTTTGATCTCAATTATTTAAGAACCCCTTAACACTGACCCATATACTCCCACTCCTCCATTTCCCTTCCCACTCATGCCAAAAGTCCTAAAGGTGAGACAAAGATGCCCTGGGTTGTGGAAGGGTAAGGCATTAGAGTCAAAACTTACAGGACCTGCCAAGCTGGAAAGTACAAATCTAGCCATGGATTGTCAGTCAGTTGTTGTGAAGCTAGCCTACCTAATGCTTCATCCATAGCTGATCTTTTTTTTTTTTTTAACATAGAAACTCTCAAAGAATGACTCTCTCAAATCATAGGGTACTTACAATCTTCTTTGACGGAATGATTACCTTATACAAGGCAATCACAGAGCTTTGAAATGCTGGAGTAAATAAAACTGGCTGATGTCTCCCAAAGATAATCAGCTGTCACTGGGAATAAGGTCTGTAGTAAAACCATGGAATCAACCCTATTTCAGGCTTTACAAATTATGTGTGCTTCTAGTTAAGATAAAATCCACCATCTAAATGGCAAATTAGTAAGCACTGTTCTTGTTTTATGGGCCTACCTCCATATTCAAAAGTCCAAAAATTTCCATGGAGTATGGGGGGGACTGTTACACAACCAGCTATGGGCTGATTTACGAAATCTACCGAATTACTAACAGATTGCTGCTCTTTCTCTGGATTAAGCAATAATGTTCACTGCCTGTGAAATTCATTATTTATGTTATGCATTCAGTTATTAAGACCAAGTAAACCTAGTTAATGGTGGGAGAGGCAGATGGCAAAAAATGTTCACCCACGTAAACATGAAGCACTGGTTGTTTTAGCTGTTATCTTTCACAGAGTAAGGTTTTCCTAGGAGGAAATCTGCAGCCTGTAAAAACCATTCACTTCCAAATGCTTAAAGAGAGGCCTCACTGAGAACAAACAACATTCCCCCCCCCCCGCAAAAAAAACCCATATTTGAAAATCTTTGGTGAGAGAGGAGGAAATATATAATAAAAGTGTTAAAGGAAAGTTGACAACAAATATTCTAACATTTGGTGACAAGCATTTTATTAATAAGAAAGCATAATAGAAACCAAAATGGCCAAATGGGACCTAAAACAGAAAAACTGAAGGAGTGAATGGACATTTAAAATAAACATCATTTAAATAAATCTCTAGAGTAAGTATCCTAGACACCCGTTAAGCCTAACAAAATATTCCTTTTCAGATGGCTACTAATTTTACTTTGATAGCAAAAGCTCATGGACTGCCAATCAGTTTAGTTGATACATAGCCCAAAGGAACTGGGTCACCATTTTCTCTTCTTTCCCTTTCAGCCAACAAAATTTACTACAAGAGCCAGTGGTTTGGCATAGGGCTCTAAGTTTAAAAATGAATGTTGTAAATCATGGCCTAATAGCCTTGGTAGATAATTCATTTAGCTTCTCTACTTTTTCACTTTGGAAAAACTGTAAAATGCAAATAAGATTCAAGTCACCTTCCAGAGTTAATGATCATATTTTGGGTCCGACATTCTAATCACTACTTAGATAATTGCTGCTCTAAAGGAGCCTGAAATTCAGCAATTAAACATCAATTGCTTTTTTTTTTTGAAATGTCTGAAAGTGAGTATTAACGTTCATCCTATGCCCAAGTTAAAGGAGTGTGTGGAAGGTGCAGGGATCTTCATGTATGTTTATGTATCCACACCTATGTAAGGGGTAGCAATTCCTTGTCCCTTACACAGGGGCAGGCATTGTTCCCCACCAATGAGTAGAGTCCCACATGTACAAACACATGCAAACATGTGTATGCAGGCATGAACAGGAATTATTGCTAATGATTTGAAATTAGAAAACTATTTTTGACATGTGTGTGATTGTAAGTATCAAATATTTGGTTTCCCTTTATTAGGTAATATCATGAATAAGAACACTTGGCTGGCAGTCCTTGTTGGTGTTAGTCTTTGTTCTGCAACTAAATGGGTGCATGGCCTTATGCAAGGAGATAGAATTTAAGCTTCCTTAGCACAAGGACTTTTTAATTTTTGTATTTTTTTTCCTTAGTGCCTGGCACATAATAGGCACTGAATCAATAAATATTGATTGACAGATGAAGTTACTTAAACTCCCTGGGTCTCTGTTTGTTCACCTACAAAAAATGAGTTCTATACCACATGATTCCCTTAAGTGCCTTCTAGCTGTAATATTCTATGACTCAGTGATTTACCTGCTCCAGGAGATGATGGTTCAAACACACTGGATGAGTCACTATAAGTATTGGATGCCTGCTCTGATAGCTTCTTTTTGGCACTTCCTTCTGAAGACTTGTGTGATTTCTTCTTGTTTTTTACCAAAATTTTATACATTAAGTCCATAGGGCTTGGAAGAGGAACTCCAGATTCAAGCTAATATTAAAAAAAAAAAAAGAAGAGAGCACATTAATACACTCACACATACACACAATAACCTTAGAATGCCTCACTCCACCAAACTGCCAAGCAACATCTCAGGATTTAATAGTAGTAAGTATGATACTGTAAAAAAGATGAAAAAAAAAATGGACGGCTCTGTGCATCCCCAAAGTACTGCCAATTGCCAGTTGTCATCTTCATATGAAAGGAAGCCTACTTTTGTTGTTGTCTTACCATTACTTTATCAAATTTGGTGAAGGAAGCCAGAGCAAACTTGAATGGATGATCAATCATTAGAATGAAACTGTTATCATTGAGAACCCACCAGGAAAGCAAGGATGTTATCTCATTTTGAAAGTTAACATCTCACATACTTAGCATAGTTCCTGACACACTGTAAGGCTAAGATATAAAAAAAAGGGACTAGACCAATGATGTCACTATTATAAGGAACTCACAGGTAAAGAAACTACTAGAATAGGTAGGCACCTTTGCAACTTATTTTGCAGAGTTACCTGAAACACCAAGAGGTGAAGACTTGTGAAGTCACAGAAACCAGAAAGTTTCAGAGATAGGACTTGAAAGCAGGCTTTGAGGCTAGCTCCCCAGTCATTATGACATGCTGCCTCTTATATAGTAAATAACTGACAAATTTTCATTCATTCATTCATTCATTCATTCATTCATTCTTCCTAAAGGGAAAACTAGTTTAGATTTGGAATGAGCTATTAGCCACCAGTGGCAAGAATCATCTGTGTAAGTTTTTCAGAAGATAACGCTATTTAGACAAATGTAATTCCTTCATATTCCATTGCTAGGGGACAGTGGGCTGATATAAAGCCTTTCGTAAGATGGTCATATACTAGGAGAAGAAGATATGGGGTAATGAAACTTAGGACATCTTTCAGCAGCTTTGCTTCTTTCTATGGTTGGAGGGGGGGTAATTTTTACTCTTCCTCTTAAAAATTCGCTGATGCTACTATAGTATTGTGCAACTCAGCACATTGCCATTGTAAGTAAGGGTATGATGATGATGGAGAAGTGAGGAGGAGACAACACATGGATAGGGACTCTACTATCTGCACCCTTTGGCGCAAGTAGATACTTCTCAAGAGGATCTGGTTATTTTCATTTGAAGTGAGTCTTCTTTTAGCTGTTATGTTGGCTGCTTCTGTGTGTTAAGCAATTCTTTAGTCCAGCCAAAAAGAAGTCTAGCTGTAAAGGAGAACATGGGGGAATAGAAAAGGAAAACTCTTTTTTCCTATCCTCCCAGGAGGGTTACAGAAGGAAGAATCAAAATAACAAAACACATTTCTCAGGTCCCCTTCTTCCCTCTCTCAAGCAAAAATAGGAAGTTTCTATATTTCAAAGGAGAAATATCAAAATGACTTACTGGGTATTTTTCTAATGGCTCCATAAGCAGTGCATCTCCAAATATTAGTCTGCAATATTCTGCCATCTTGGCTTGCTGTTTAGGACTAAAAAAAGAGAGAGAAAAACAAACCATGATGTTTATTTTAGTTGCTGTCTGGATATGAAGAAATCTCATATCTTTTACCATATGAAGAAGACATTTCCTCATCTCATTCTTGGTCATTTTATTCATCTAAATTTGTTTTGCTATTATTATATTGATTTGCTGATGTCTCACAGAACGCAAATGATACATAAAGGTATAAATGGTCCCTTGATACCACCAGAGGACTGTACTTACACAGTAATGGAATAGACAGTTACTTCTGTGGAGAGATTTAAAGGCTAAGGGAAAGATTCTCTTTCCTCAAACAAATCTTTATCCAGTAAAATACAAACTCCTTGAGGGCAGAAAGTAGATTTCCATTTTGCCTTTGTTTCCCAAACACTTCGAACAGTGCCTTGTCTAGCAGGCAATTAATACATATTTACTAGATTGGATTTGATTGGATTTGTCTGCTAGGCCTGCCTCACTTTCCAACTACAGTGATGGCATTTTTTTTTTCTCTCACATGGTAGTATTTTATATTTTCCCCCAATTACATGCAAAGATAGTATTCTACATTCCTTTTTATAAGATTTTGAGTTGCAAATTTTTCTCCCTCCTTCCTTCCGCAAGACAGCAACCAATCTGATACAGGTTATACATGTACAATCACATTAAACATATTTCCACATTAGTCATGTTGTAAAAGAAGAATCAGAACAAAAGGGGAAAAACATGAGAAAGAAAAAACAAAAAACAAGTGAAAACAGTATGCTTCAATCTGCATTCAGACCCCATAGTTCTTTCTCTGGATGTAGTTAGCATTTTCCATCACTAGTCTTTTGGAATTGTCTTAGATCATTGTATTGCTGAGAAGAGCTAAGTCAGTCACAGTTGATCATCATACAATTCGGCTGTTACTGTGTACAATGTTCTCCTTGTTCTGCTCACTTCAGTCAGCATCACTTCATGTTAAGTCTTTCCAGGTTTTTCTGAAATCTGCCTGCTCATCACTTCTTATAGCACAATAGTATTGCATTACATTCTACCACAACTTGTTCAGCCATTCCCCAATTGATGGGCATCCCCTCAATTTCCAATTCTTTGCCACCACAAAAAGAGCTGCTTTGTACATGTGGGTCCTTTTCCCTTTTTTTAATGATCTCTTTGGTATACAGACCTAATAGTGGTATTGCTGGATCAAAGGGTATACACATGTTTATAGCCCTTTGGGCATGGTTCCAAATTGCTCTTCAGAATGATGGGATCAGTTTACAACTCCACCAACAATGCATTAGTGTTCCAATTTTCCCATATCTTCTCCAAAATTTATCATTTTCCTTTTCTTTCATCTTAGCCAATCTGATAGTTGTGAGGTGGTAACTCAGAGTTGTTTTAATTTGCGTTTCTCCTATCAATAATGATTTAGAGCATTTTTTGCATATGACTATAGATAGCTTTAATTTCCTCATCTGAAAACTTGTCTGTTCATATCTTTTGACCATTTATCCATTGGGGAATGACTTGCATTCTTGTAAATTTGACTCAGTTCTCTACATATTTGAGAAATGAGGCCTTTATCAGAAACATTTGCTGTAAAAATTGTTTCCCATCTTTCTGCTTTCCTTCTAGTCTTGGTGGCACTGGTTTTGTTTGTGCAAAAACTTTTTAATTTAATTTAATCAAAAGTATTCATTTTGCATTTCATAATGTTCTGTATCTCATCTGGTCATAAATTCTTTCCTTCTCCATAGATCTGACAGGTAAGTGATGGCATTCTTTAATGCACTGGTCATGAGTGGCTAGTACATTAAGTTATTAGTAGTCTCTACCTTCTTGGTATGTCTTAGTTGTCAGATACATTTAAACCTGAAAGTTACAGAAAAACAAGTATAGGATTATAGGATCATAAGATTTAGAGCCTGAAGGAACTTTAGAGGCCATCTGGTCTAATCCCTTCGTATGACAGATGAGGGAACTGATGCAGATAGAGATTAAGTAACTTGTCCAGGGTTCCATAGTGTCATGCAGAAATTAAACCTAGGCCCTCCTGACCCTAAGTTCAGCCCTAGCCATTATGCCATGCAAGGTGGTACAGCAGATAGAGTACTAGACCTAGAGTCAGGAAGATCTGAGTTCAAATCCAGACATATATTGGCTGTGTGACCCTGGGCATGTCACGTAGCCTGACTGCCTTAGTTTCTTCAACTCTAAAATGGGGATAATAATAGCACCTACTTTGCAGGGTTGTTTTGAAGATCAAACGAAACAGTATTTGTAAAGTGTAGGTGCTTAATAAATACTAGTTCCTTTCCCTTCCCTCCCCCCATGCTGCTTCAGAGTAGGCACATTTTAATATGAAGAAATGATCAACAGCTAGGTCAAGAGCAGATAAACATGAAAGTAGAAGGGGATGGTTAGGTATAAGATTTGGGCAAAGTATGAGGGTACTGGGTACTTTGGGGTACTAGAGAGAAGGACACTCAAAGTTGAGTTAGAAGGTCACTAAAGATAAAATTTACCTATTTATAAAATCAAGCCAAGGACTGACTAAGGTGACCAATGGTAATACAGTCCGGTAGAATGCGCCGCTGTGCAGGTGAATCCTAGTTCTAGTTATACCTTGACCTCACTGTCCTGCCTTGGGCAAACTTTTGAACCTCTCTGTGTGTCTACAGTAAAGAGGAGCAACAAAACTGGCATATCACCTAACAAAAGTACTATAACGATCAACTAAGATACTAGATATGACAACATTTGGAAAAATTAAAAGAGCTAAACAAATGTAAGAGAATAATTATTTTTATAAATGTATTTAATAGATCATATAGGAGAGGATTCTAAGAAGACGGTGGAGTAGGGCAGAAATTTCTCAGCTCTCAAGATTTTCCCCCCACAAAAGAGATAAAATAGCACCTTAAGGCAAACAAAGTGTGGGTAAAAATAAATAAGAATAGGGGCACAACAGGGGTCTTCCTGGGACAATTCAAGAAGAAAAATCCCAGGACTAGCCAAGTGAAGAGTAAACACCTCTAGGCTAGGGTCCTCCTTAAAGCCACTTAAACAACAATCAACAAGCGCTAGGGTTAGTTGGTTTGGGAGACTGCAGACCTCGCTACAGGAACTTTTACCCAGGGATAGTGAGAGGAGTTGGGTGTCTGAGCTCAGGAAGATAGAGGAAACCTCTGCTGACAAGGAATGCTAGATCCAGATGTGCTGTAGAGAGGGGAGTGGGGTGGAGGGGGGTGGAGGGAGAGAAAGAACCAAAAGAACCAGCACTTGCCCAGGGAGAGCAGAAGCAATGGGGCAGAATGCCCCCTGGCTTTGGTTCCAGGCTAGAGAAGAGAACTGAAGATCAGGAGCAGGAGGCACCATTCCCCATACCCCAGAGCTAAAGGTGATTGCAAAAATTAAGCTATTACTATTTAAAAATGCACAGACAAAGGAGAAAGAAGTCAACCACAGAAAGTGATTATGGGAATAGAGAAGACCGGCTTCATCTTCAGAAGAGGATAGTGAAGCAAAGAAACCCTCTTCTACCCCCAAAGAGTAATGTTAAATGGTCACCTGCCCAAAAATAATTCACAGAAGAACTTAAAAAAGATTTTAAAAATCAAATGAGAGAGATGAAGGAAAAACTAAAAAAAAAAAAAAAAAAAAAAAAATAATCCAAGAAAAACAAGAAGATTGTGAAAAGAAAGTCAATCAATTAGAAAAGGAGATCCAGAATCTTAAGGAAGGAAATGTCACCCTGAAAATTAGAATTGGGCAAGGCAAAGCCAGTAAAGTTATAAGAGATCAAGAAATAATTAAACAAAATATGAAGAATGAAAAAATAGAAGAGAAAGTGAAACATCTTATAAGAAAAACAACTGATCTGGAGAACAGATCAAGAAGAGAAAACATAAGATTAAGTGGACTACCTGAAAGCTATGATAAAAAAAAATCAAAGATTGATATTAGTAATTGGGTAGTTTGTAAGAAAGACTGGGATAGACCTGAGTATGATATGACTTTAAAAAGTAAAACCATTTAGGAACAGCTAAAACGAGCAATTATTTTATACAAATGAGGTGCAGGAGGAAGAATCTATACAGAGGAATTAGATGGGGGAAGAGGGCTGGTAGTTCTGATAGCCTACTTTCATTGGGAATGGGTTTAAGAGGGAACAATATATATCTAGAAAATATAAAAGTCTTCCAAGTTCAGAAGAAATAAAACAGTAAGGGGATAGGGAGGGGCCAGAGAACAAGGGAGGGATCTTTAGAGGGAAGGGTGAGGGAATAGGTTATAGGAGGCTATAGAAGAGTGTTTAGATTTATGGGAATGGGAGGATAGGGGAGGAATCCTTGGAGGGGGGTAGGTTAAGTAATTGGAGGGCAAGGTAGTGGGTAGAAGTAAAACAGAGGAGTCAAGAGGAATAGGAAACAAGAGATATGCATAACCATAAAAATAAAGATCAGGAGCAGAATTTGTTAGGGAAAGTATATATGTATATGTTTATGTATATATCTATATCTATCTAGAAATATATCCACATTTAATTCTAGCCTTTGGGAGCAGGGGAAGGAACAGTGAAAAAAAGAACAAAGTAACAAGTGCACAGCAGAGAACAAAAGAAAACTTACATGGAAGCAAAGAAAAGATGGACAGCTCTCAACACAATTTTACTATTTATCAAAAGGCTTTCTTGAAATGAAAATTGATTATTACATATTTTGAATCTTCTCTTATGTTCTGCTATGCACAATATGCTTTTTTTCTTACTTTGTATTTAAGTTCCAATGTTTAAGTCTATGATGTTTTTTTTTTTCTTTTCTCTATTCTGTATGTGTATTCTGGTGTTTGAGTCTAAAATAAATTTTTAAAAAAATATATTTCATAACTCAATGGTATTTCACATGCACAAGATCCTATTTGAATATAATCTGCAAGAAAAAAAAACAAACAAACCTGTGATCTTATCATTTCTGTTTTCTTTAAATTTTCTTAAACAATTATAAAATGTTGAACAATATG